GGCCTACGACAGTGAAGCCACCAGGTGCAAATTCAGTCCCTTGAATGTTGGAGCGAGTGTGTCTCCATGGTGTGACCTCGGTGTCCTTCCAGGGCACCACGGCAGGTCAGAAGGGCCTCCAAATGACTTCTGCTGAGATGGTGTTCCATGTCTGGCTTTCACAGGCATAAAAAGGACGCTCGAGGTGTGGTGCACATACACTGCTATCCAGTCTTTACTTCCTCAAGTTGATTTCCAGAAGTGATACTGAGGCAATGAACACTGGGTCACAATTTTGTGAAAACAGGTCACAACTCTCTCCCTGCTAGGCACATAGTACACGGTGGAAGATAAAGCAAACATGACCCCCGCCTTCCAGCAGTTTACAGACTCCTGCGGAAACCAGCATTCAAGAGACACAAAGATGATGGCAAAATCAGAAAAGCATTACGAAGGGGAAGCAGGATGTTCAGGCAGAGTACAACAAAGCCCTGCATTGGAGAGGAATTCATAGGAGCTGAACTTACTCACGGAACACTAAGAACAAACGTTTAAGCATCGCATCAAATTAAAGAGCAGTACATATTTCTGCTTGCACAAGGCCTAAATTGTCATTTTCATATTAGACGAAAAAACCGTGTACCTTTTTTGCTTGTACCTGTTCTATTTTGACTTTAGATAAGAAAAACTTATGGAAGCCAAAAGTTTTAGAATTAAGTCATTTGTAATGCCTTCTGTTACAAACATAAAAACAAGGGGAAAAAACTCTTAAAGGTGTAATTCATTTCAGAATCAACTACATGTTTAATTTCAATGATTCAAAAGTAAGCAAGTTTATGGGCGAACTAAGTGACATACAGAGAAAATCCATTTCCTCCAGTTTCAAAGTTTCTGTGACTTAACAATATTCTCCTAGGTTAGGTCTCATCTAGAGTCCATCGGTCGGTTTCAAGATCTAAACACCATTCACTTTGTTAAGTATAGCCCTATTTGATAACTTACTCAGAAACGAAAAGAATGTGGATAAGGTTTAGCTCTAGACATCAACAGAGAAAACAAGACATGAACTGGACATTCTGTCGTGAAATTCTGCATCAAGACTTCAAGGCATCTTGTTGATTTCCAATCTACCACCGATGTTCACTGCCTTTTACAGGAAGTTCATATGCAATGTATCTCCATGCCTCGAATAATCAAATTATTGCCAATGGTCCAAAAGCTTTTTCATGATCGTTTTTAATAATGCCAGGTTTTGAGCATACATTATTAAAAATACAGCATAATTCTACAGAACATTCTGGGAAATGCACAAACCTAGCTGTGTATTCCAATCAGCTAGGGAGTTGACTGAAAAGCACAGGCCCAACTCACAAGATTCTAATTTGATTGGCTTCAGATAGGATCCAGCGTTCTATAAAACACACACACAAACACACACACACACACACGTCCATCTTGCCCATAGGATACTAGTAATAAAACCATGGCTTTAGGCTCGGGCTACATCGAAGAAAGAAAATACAAACAAGTTCTGATCAACAATCCTAAACTTCCACTGATAGGGACACCGCCTATCCCCTGATAACAATCGTTTGTTATAATCTTTGCTATAATCTCATCAAAAGCAGTAAGTTTGGTAAAATATTTAAAAAGTTTGCAGCTCGCCAAAAATCTTACTCAAAGGAGCAAAAAAGGCCAAAAGCAGGCGACATTTGCCCCTCCTGCCTTCTGCAGCGATGTCCATTAGGTATTAGCGATTGGCTGTGACAGTATTAAGGCTGGACCATCATGCAAAAAACTTTGTGCCCACTCATTTTCGTTTCTGTCAGATTTTCCACTATAAATTTTATTTTCTCTGCCAGTTAAAAGTAGTATGAGGTTGCAATTTGGCAAGAACACGGTAAGCCTGGGTGAGATTTCCGTACCCCGATTTGATTTAAATTAGTTTTGCCATACTTAGTGAGAATGTAAAAAAAAAAAAACAAAAAAAGTTCATCTGGCCACTTGTGTTATCTGTTGGTTTATTTTCTACACAATTTCAAAAGTCTCACATGTTTACCATGTTTACTTCTGGTACTGTCACTTGGAAGTGCATTGATGAATTCATATTATACCACTACAAGTTTTAACGAAAACAACTTCATTGATCATAAAGAACCCGCTGGCTTTTGTTTATTCTGATAAACTATCCATTTTTTAAAGTCACATGTCTATTACTTTCAGTGCTTATTCCTTAAGAGAAACATAACGGATAGATATCTGCTTTTCAACTTGATGCATTTAAAAAATAACATCCAGGTCACATTAATAATTTCTGCCTCCAGGACAGCATTTTACTACCTGTTGCTTATGACCACTGTGTCTCCACACCAGACAAAAGGCTACTGGCTCTGGAACAAGCACGTCCCCAAATAACACTGCTCATCTCTGTCGTCCACGGAATACACACTGTTACAACACGATAAAGCAGCTTTTGGGGCTGCTTAGGACACATCATCGAAAGGCTTTCTATCCAGCACCTCGGTCAAGTCGTCAACAGAAGAAAACAAAAGCCTCCCCTCCACAACAGTCACTCACCTTGTCACACAGTGGGGAATCATTTCAGCTGGGATCTGCTATTGAGACTTGAAGCCCAAGATCCCGAGACTGTGCCTTGCTTTTTGGTCTGCATAGCTGGTGGTGTAGACGGGATTCAAACAATTCGGCACAAGAGAAACTGACACACTGTCAGACACACTAGGGTCTGTACTGTTCTCAAATTTCACAGAGAAGAGAAATTCATACTACGAACAGACACTTTTTCCTCCCCAGCCCCTGTTGCCCCTATCAGGGAATTTCCAAAATTTCGCTTTTATTTATCCTTAAGCCATCACACTGCTGAGGGAGACTGCTGAGACCATGCTAAGCGCAGAGACGGTCGACCCTTGCCAGACTCCAAACCAGGAAAACAGAAACAAGAACGAAGGCATCTCCGCACTCCCCAGCCACATCACGAAGGCTTTTAAAGAAAAGCACAGGCAATCATATTCCTGGATACAAAAGAATTTCCCTGGACACGAATGTCTCTGAACGGACCTCCCAAGGCCCAGAAATTCATCCATCGCGCGTCCGTCCACCTGTATTCCCCCCTCGGCCCCTTTCCCCTTCTCACCTTGTGTTTGCAAAAACAAACTTCGGTTTCACTCGAGGGAAGTATTTCCCCGCAAACGGAGAAAGGAGGGTCTGTCTGTGCTCTGCACACACACAGACTTGCGCGGTCTGGGTGATGCTTTCACAAGTTAAGGGGCCTCACGCTTACTCAGCAGAGGAAATCTTTGTGTCTGTGAGGAATCACGCCAATTCCTATTAGGAAGAAAGGATACAGGGGCGAGGAAGCCTATTCTCTCAATGACCAGCAAAAGGGGCCCAGTGAAAACAGAGACCTCTGCCATGACCATCTGCAAAAAGGAAGGATGTTGTCAACTTTCTTCTCCCCAAAACGCTAATGACCTCCGCCTTGACCCTCAGAAACCAGAGCCACAGGAACACACTCTTCGGCAGGAATTGAGAGCTTTACACCAGAGACACAGCCCTCCGAGGCTCGTCGCCCAGGCTATCTCGCCCGAACATTTGCACTCACATTCCAAAGATGTTTCCGTTGCGCTGGAATGGCTGTAAATTTCTTTCCTGCAGAATTCTTTCCAAACAAACTGCCATCAACTACGCTCCGGCAGGAGTTCTAAACCCAGCACCCTTCACCTCATCCCAACGAATCTTTTGGATGCCGAATATGACTGAATGCGTGGCTGGGCCAAGAGAGTCAACTTTACAAACGCAAATATATACAAGGGAAGAAAAAAACAGCAACAGCCACCCAACCAGAACTCTACCTTTAGATGTCGGATATGCAAAGGAAATTTTCCTCCAAGGTTCCATTTAATTACAAAAATGAAGTCTGCTTACCTGCTTTGGGGATATATTAAATAGGTTGTGATTTAAAAAAAATTTTTTTTGGCCTCCTATCATTTAAAAAAGAAATAGAAAAGCAAAAGAGTTCAAGAAAGTAAGCATCCCCTTTTCGACATTTAAAAAAAAAAAGGTACATTCTGTTTTGGGGAATAATAAAACAGTAACGAGCCTAGAATATTAAAGAGGATTATTAAATTCTATCAAGAGTTTTCCGAAGCAAGAAACTAACGCAGCTATCAAGAGAACGTATACGTTTAAAAAAATATTTTCAATATGACGAATACCGATACTGAAATGAAAAAGAAAGCATCTATAAAAACTCAATTGTCTTGAAACAAAGCTCACATTTTAGCTACTGCTAGTATTTTTAGAAATGGGGTCTCTCTGGAGAGTTAAGAGTACACAAATGCAGGGTGCACAGAGACACAAACACACACTTGCTATACCTCTGCATTACACTGGCATTTTATTATTTAATTAAAGGACTCTTATTTTTCTAGCTCACGCCTGCTTCCCCTGAGACGGCTTTGCTGTTAGCCTGCTGGCCTTGACTTCCAGCCAAAAACAATTCAGAAACAAAAAGGGACAACAAATCATATTTTCACAGACATTTTTACCCCTCAGTACAACCCTGTTTTCACACACATCATACAGTCCCTAAGAAAACTATAATTTAGGGCAAGAGCCACCCGAAACCCAGGGTCTGACACATGCCTCCGCCAAGGACTGCCTGCAGAAGAAATTCTTAAGTTCTCAATTGCAAATAAACTCTTTTGATAGAACCACTTTCCCCGACATGGCTGGTTTACAAACAGTGCCACTGGCACCGGCTGATGGACTAAAAATTAAAAACAAACCAGCGAAGGTGGTTCTGAGACGGCAGCGATTTAAAGATGAGGTGTTCATTAGTCCTAAGCCCTGTGTTATTTCGTTCCTTAAAGAGAGAGGCAGCCTCAGACCTTCCACCAGTGCCTCTGAGTGTCACAGTTTAAAATGCATTATACGATTTAGAAAACAAACTGATTTGCCAGGCTCAGCGTCTCAACCCTTCCACAACAGAGATTCTCACTTACCTGGTGGCAACCCTGTAAGTTTGATTCTCTCCCATAAGATGAGTATGAGCCCCTTTCTGTTTTACCTGCCAAGAGAAACAACAAAAAAGTGTAAATTGCGTTTTTCCTTTTCAAAAAATCTCCTCCAGGTAACAGACATCTACTTCTCTTCCCTGGTGTTTACATACGTAAAGTAGGCACTACTGGCAATGTATGCAAGCAAGAGAGGGAATAACACTTCCTCACTCTGGCTATGATAAACTGGAAAAAAATATCCTTCATTCCTATTCTTAGCCAAACTGCTCCACACTTCCAAAAACTGTCATTCCAATGGCCTCCACTTTCTCTAACAAACAAATTGTCATTCCTTATTTTCACTTTCTTTCTCCCTCACAAGATTTAAACAATTTCATTTTTATTTACACAGCAGGCAAATTATCTATGTAATGACCCTAGTCTAGTAATTCCCATTGATTATATTGACACTTAATGGTGAGGCCAAAGCTAATCAATCACAGGCTCTCCAGATGGTGAATTCAGCAAAGAAACTATTCAAAATTCTGAGTCTCTCTCTCTCCCCCTCTCTTTTTTTTTTTTCTATTCCCTTTCCCAGGAGTAAATCCCATCATGATCAAGATGATGATGGAATTTCCATTTGGGAAACAGGGTCTTTGAAAAATTGCCCACTCTGAACACAGCTTCCAATTCCACCAGTAGACCCAGCAGGGCCAAGGGATCATGGGATGTGGAGGTCTTGTTGCCTTGCTAACAACCCAATTTCCACCTGTAGACTGCTCTGTAGACACACGGAGAGCCTTCCATGCTGTTTGGCCACATCTAAGAACAAAATCGAGGCTGCTCATTTGCTTCTTTTTAAAGTATGTTTAGTCCCTAATAATCGGCAGAGAAGATTGTGAAACCACATTATAAGAGATCTAAGCAGTAGAGTCCAGACAGTGACACATGAACAATCGTCACAGAAAACTGCCCATACTAAGGCATTAAAAGGGGCTAGGGAGGCAGTCCAGGACCTCACCCAGCACAAAACTGATAGGTATTTCTTTCTTTGAGACTAGAGCTTTATGGTGCATTGCATTTTATACACAGGACTAGTCTTTTTTCCAATGGGAAAGTTCAAAACTTGTAGTTTAGAGGCTGAACAAATCTCCTTCTAAAGTTTACAACCTGCAAATTTTCTCCCCTCGACTCAAGTGAATACAAATCCTAAAAGTAACAGCAGTCTATTTAACTTTTAGGTCAATGGCAATGTTATATAAATCTTGTATCTGGTTGAAAGGGCAACTGGCATATAAGATTAGGTTATATATAATGGACAGTGATTTTCTAAGAAAGCGAAACCTGAGTCATCACATTAACCCTCTCGCTTCCAGTATTAACTTTTCTACTGGCTTCAACGAATCTCGACCTTGGGCAAACACCCACCACCCTCCATCTCTGGTGTGGCGTTCAGGGCAAAGTATAAAATCAATGCCCATATCCGTTTCCATTTCAGTGAAACAAGACACCATCACACAGACTGTCCGTCTCGGGAAATCTAAGAGAATAACTTTCACGGTATGAGGCTTTTACATTGAGGGCAAGACACATTTACCTGTATAAGCAGTGTGAATGGCCACACAGACAGACTGACTTATCTGTGTGAGTCAAATTCAAGCTACTTGTACTCTTGAACTTCACTCGACAAATGGGAGACTAACAGAAAAGGCTCAACCTTGATGAGCTGTCAAAGGGTGCCTGTCCTTCCTGATCTCTGGCATCCAAACAAACTTCAATACAGCCATCACATAATGTGTCTTAACACAACATTCACTTGTTTCACAGGTAGAGAGGCGGCAGACAGGCAGGCAGATAGGTAGGTGGGTAGGCAGGCATACAGATGGAAAGACAGAAAGATTCATCAAGTAGAATTTGCTCTGACTTTGTGGGAAACCGAACACCTCGTGCCCTGTTTTGATCGTTTCCAAAGACTGAACTGTAAAATACGGTGTGAGGAAGAAAGGCCATCTATTTGTTTTTCTCTAGGAGGAGTTCCTGAAGCTATCCCCTGGAGATTTTCACCACCCAGCATCATCGCCCAACTCACTGACACCAGCACACGGAACTGGAGAGGGGAATTTTCCTGCCAGGATTTGTCTCACTTATAAGTTGGGGCTATTCCTTCCACTGTTTTTAAAGCTGGAAAGGCAGAGCAAATAATAAAGATGGGGGGGTGGGGGGGAGGGGGGGAGAGAGAGAGAGTGAGAGAGAGAGAGCGCAAAGGAGAGAGAGAGAGAGAGGGAGAGGGTGGAAGGAGAGATGAGAAGAATATGAATTCCGGCTGCAGAGTCCCCGAAGTACTCTTGGCTACATGGATCCAGCACTCTTTACTATCATATCAGATACAGACTGCTTAATCTTAATTTTGCTTGTTAAAAAATATTTATCCAGATACAAAAATAAACCCACTGCAAATTACAAGTTGTCAGGGTTAAAAATCTACTCCTGTTTGTGTGGGGGAGGATAAGAGACCAGCATAGACATGAATCATTCTCAGTAATTTGAGTGTTTCCATGACATCAATGGGCACCCGTCCAGGACTCTGTCGAAGTCTGCGAGGTACCAAAGAGGCAGCACAGCCAGCAGGAGGCTGGGAGGTGCCCTTTTTTTTTTTTTCTTTTTTTTTTTTTTAGGATTATGCTCCTTGTAAAGATTTCATCTGTAGCATCCACTTTTACCATCAAACAGATCGCTCCAGAGACCATGAGCGAACACATTTCATCCTGATAGTGTAAGCCTTTAACTTTATTACATCTTTTTGTTTCCAAATTCAACTATAAATCTGCCCTCAGAGCCTGAACCCCTGTTTAGGAACAAAATAATCAGGGACTGTGGATAAAACCCACGTACCTCCTCAAACATAAGAGATCGATTCCTATCATCTGTCATGATAAAAAGCAGCCATTTTTAAATGACACCTTGATTTTTTTTTCGGGGGGGGAAGCTTTTGAGTCAACTCTCCACTAAAAATTAGCTATGGTCTTGATGCTGATTTTCTGCTTAAAATCCACTGGCACGTTTGTTCCCAATCATAAAATTTTCGAGAGCGCTGATAACACGTTTGGGGAAGATCCGTGAGGGACTCTCTGAGCTCGTGAACACAAAGCTCCCAAATATCTGTGCTTCCTCTATGGCAGGCATGGATTTTTGTCACTGACACCAGCGGGCTGGCACGGACAGCTTCTCTCTTCCTTCCTCCATTCTTAGCCACCAACCTCCCCCATCCCCACAGCCACGGTGGGGCTTGACAGAGCTCAAGATCCTGTTTTTCCAACATTTAAAAGGGATAGCAGTGATGAACAAACCCAGCGCGCGCTCACTGCGGAATTTTCGAGACAACCCTCCAGTCCTAGAATGCGACAGCCGCTGCGGGTATTTTTTGACACAAAGACAATGGTGGCAGTGCCAAGCCCCATGGCTAAAACTACTCAAAAGAGGCATAAGGGTAGCATTAATCGCTCAAGTCTTTTCCTGCATGGAGTCCTGTTGTCCATATTTTAAAAACTAAAAGGTGGGGGGGGGGACCTGAAATACATACCAGAAACAGATCTTGTCAGGCGTCTGACTCGTTTTGACACCTAAAAAGACCAAACGTGAAATTTTTGCTGCTGGTGATGATTTGCCGTGCATGAGACGAAGGATGTGACCTAATGGCGTCCGCAGAGGGCTGAGTGAAAGCTACACAGAGGATTCCATAAACTAAGGCGACATATTGGCTAAACAACTTTCTTCTGCAGAAGCGATGTCTACAAGGAACGTGTAATACTATGTCACATCTTTTTTTAAATTAAACAAGAAAAACGCTGTAAATGAGCAGACACCACGTCCGTCAATCAAGCCTTCTGGAGACAAAGGAGATGAACACGCAGCCCCGTCTCAAGAAGGAGTCGGTGTCTACAGTGAGCAAACAGTCCAGAAAGTCAACATGTGTTCTGTCCAAATCAGACCCGTCCGCTGCTGTCACCTATATTTAAATTTGATGATTAAAAATGGCACCGAAGGGCAATCGAGAAAGGGTTCGCTGGCTTCTGTTGCCCTGGAAAAACTAACCTAAGGAGGAAATATAAGCAACTTTTTTTTGTAAGGTCGATATTTTTGCTGATCTGCTCAATCATCTTTTATCTTGCTGTCCCAAGAAGGAACCGAAAATGTGCTCTTTTTTTGACGGCGGCACGGTTAACCAATATCTACAGCATTCCAAATTTAATATGTTTATATTCTTAGATTATTTGCCATTTGGCTTCTGCTGTTTCTCCCAATGTATCCACCGTATCCTAGCGTGGGGGTACTGGATGACGATGAAAATGTCACAGGAAGGAAAAGAATGGTCTCGTAAATCCATTCCATTCACAGGGACACTTCCAAGAAGGATCCCCTTTGGCGGATCACTGCCCCTGGACAGCTCTAAGCCACATGGAACGAGCTAGAGACAGACAAGAGCAACTTGTCAATGAAATGATTTCTGGAGATAAGTTCGGACAGAGATGATCCTGCTGGTGGTTGACCAGTAGGCTAATAACAGGGTCACCTTTGGATGTATACTCTTTCCTTCACAAGAGGCCACTCTAAAATTATATATAAATGGTAGGTGTCTCACCCACCACTGAAATAGATGCGGCCGGATGGTGGAATACATCATCATGAAAAGCCTTAATGAAAAATTATCTGATGCCGCAGGACAATACCAGGCAAGGCTGCCTCCCTGTTAATCCTCATTCTGGGCACTGAAAAACGAGCCCTTTGTTCCCTCGCGTCAGACTAGGGAACTCACCATAAGCATATTTGACTCAGAATACATTTGTCCCCGTCCCCATGAGTTTCTTTTTCAAAACACGCATCACCGCAAGGGCTACTTCATGAAACGACGATGTTTTCAGTAGTTCTGACTACACAGGGAAGGCGATTTTCTTTACAGTCCTTTCATCTCTTCCATGCCTGCCTCTTCCTCCTCTGCCCAGATAAGATAGTTGAGTCCTTATCAAGTGTGAACCACTGTCCACAGGGCTCCATGGTGTCTGATGTATCCGGT